AAAGTGAAGCTTCGCTCCTAATTGTAGTGGCTATTACCATGGAATAAGCATGTTGACTTTATATGTATTTTGACTAACAATTATAACAATAATTAGTTAATTTTTCTTCTTCTAAAGTTAGTTTTTCGATGATTAAAAATGGTACATAATTACATACAAAAAAAAATATTGAATTAACAATTCACATGATATGTCAATAATTATGCAGGTAATGCTTGTAGTTGGCTCTGAAACTTCAGCTACAACCATGGAATGGGCACTCTCACTTCTCCTCAACCATCCAGAAAAAATGAATAAGGTTATGATAGAGATAAACACTTGTATGCATCAAGATCAACTTATGAATGAATCAAATGCTTTAAAATTAAAATACTTGCAAAAGGTAATTATGGAGACACTTCGTTTATACCCTGTGGCTCCATTGTTGATACCACATGAGTCCTCCAATGATTGCAATGTTTGTGGTTTTGATATACCAAAAGGGACAATGTGTTGAATAAACTTTAATGTGTTAGTAATAAGTTTTACATTAAATATGGTAGTAGGAAGGACAAAAGTTTAGTAAGTTATGATAGTTTATTAGTAGCAGTTATGTTTTAGTTTATGTTTTAGAATTGTAAAAGCTATTTGGGTCTATAAAAGACCAAGAGTGTATTTTATTTTACAAGAGCAATATAGAAGTATTCATATAGAAGTCTGATCACTTTATAACAATTTGGCATCAGAGCTCATGGCAAACATGATGAATCAAATGTCGTTGCCACGACTAACGAAGTCTAATTATGAAAACTGGAGTATCCAAATGAAAGCTCTTCTTGGATCTCTAGACGCGTGGGAAGTGACCAATGATGGGTTTGAAGAACCAACAGAAGTTGGGGGATATGCGACAGCTCAAACGAAGGCGTTGAAAGAGACGCGATCAAAGGACAAAACAACATTATACATGTTGTTCAGGGCTGTAGATGAATCAGGCTTCGAGAAAGTTGCTGGTTCGACTACGTCGAAACAAGCGTGGGACACGTTAGAAAAAGTGTTCAAAGGAGCAAATCGAGTGAAGCAAGTTCGACTCCAAACTCTTCGTGGCGAATTGGATAGAATACAGATGAAGGATACAGAAATTGTATCTGACTACATCACACGTGTGCAAAAGGTGGTGAATCAACTCACCAGAAATGGAGAGACAGTACCTGATGCACGAGTTGTTGAAAAGATCTTGAGATCTTTAACAGACAAGTTTGAAAATATTGTATATGCAATAGAAGAGTCGAAGGACCTTTCGACGCTCTCAATCGAAGAGCTCGCTGGTTCTCTCGAAGCACATGAACAACGAAAGATGAAAAAGAAAGAAGAAGCAGACGAAGAAGCAAACCAAACCAAGGAATCGAACAAAGACGAAAAGGTACTCTTTTCTCATAACTTTCGAGGAAGAGGACGTGGACGTGGAGGTCGTGACAGTGGTCGAAGTGGTAGAGGTAGCAACTTCGAAAGAGGACAATCGAGCCAACAAAATTGGCGTGGCAGAGGATATGGTCAAAGAGGTGGTCGTTCGAATTATTCCAACTTCGAATGCTACAATTGTGGGAAGTATGGTCATTATGCGAAGGATTGTAACTCCTATAAATGTTACAACTGTGACAAAGTGGGACATCTTGCAAAGACTGTCGAATCGAAAAGAAGATTGAAGAAACAACCAACCTAGCCTTGGAAGCTGAATCGAATGAAGACTTTCTCCTGATGACTCAAAACGAAATCAACACCAATGACAGTGTTTGGTATCTTGACTCAGGAGCAAGTAATCACATGTGTGGTTACAAACACCTGTTTAAAGATATGAAGAGAATTGAAGATGGTAATGTGTCTTTTGGAGTTGCATCGAAAGTGAAGGTCGAAGGAAAGGGCACAATCAGTTACTTGCAGAAGGATGGCTTGATTGGATCAATCGAAGACGTTTACTATGTACCAGATCTCAAGACCAACATATTAAGTCTGGGACAACTTACAGAAAAAGGTGCTTCGATACTGATGAAAGATCGAACACTGCATTTGAAGGACAAAGCATGATATCGGATTGCCGCTGTCGAAATGGAAAGAAATCGAATGTACAAACTGAACCTGAGGAACATTCGAGAGAAATGTCTGCAAATCGAAGTGCAAGACAAAGCGTAACTATGGCATATGCGCTTTGGTCATCTACATCATGCTGGTTTGAGAAGGTTGGCGAAAAGGAACATGGTGCATGGACTACCAGACATGGATTTCGAAGGAAAATTTTGTGAAGAATGTGTGCTCAGCAAACAAACAAGAACCTCATTTCAAAGGAAGGCAGAGTATCAAGCTAAACATATTCTCGAATTGATACATACTGACATATGTGGGCCAATCACTCCAGAATCCTTCAGTGGAAAAAGTTACTTCATTTCTTTTATTGATGACTTCTCAAGAAAAACCTGGGTCTACTTCCTGAAAGAAAAGTCTGAAGCATTAGAAGTGTTCAAAAAGTTCAAAGTAATGGTAGAGAAGGCAACAGACAGACACATCAAATCAATTCGATCTGACAGAGGAGGTGAGTATACTTCAATGGACTTTGTGAAGTACTGTGAAGAACAGGGCATAAGGAGATTCCTAACTGCACCATATTCACCTCAGCAAAATGGTGTGGCTGAAAGGAAGAATTAAACTATTTTTGACATGGTTCGATCAATGCTCAAAAGCAAGAACATGTCGAAAGAATTCTGGGCAGAAGCAGTACAATGTGCTGTTTATATTCAGAATAGATGTCCACATTCGAAGTTAGAAGACAAAACACCACAAGAAGCATGGAGTGGACAGAAGCCAACAATTTCTCATCTTAAGGTATTTGGTAGTATAGCTTATGCACATGTACCAGATCAACTAAGAACAAAGCTTGAAGACAAAAGTCAAAAGTACATATTCATTGGATATGATGAGAAGACTAAAGGGTACAAGTCCTTTAATCCCATAAGCAAGAAAGTGATCGTGAGCAGAGACGTTCGAATGAACGAAGCAAGCAAGTGGGACTGGAACATTTCGACAGAGGTTGTTGACACAGTCGAAGAAACAATTGTAGCTGTACCAACAAGTATTCCAACAGAACATGAAGAAACAGAAGATGGAGATGAACCTCTACAACCCAAAATGAGAAGTTTGCAAGATTTGTATGATTCAACAAGTGAGGTGCATCTTGTGTGTCTTCTGGAAGATGCTGAAAACATCAGCGTCGAAGAAGCGTTACGAGATAAGAAGTGGAAAAGTGCCATGGACGAAGAAATTAGAGCAATCGAACGCAACAATACTTGGGAGCTAGTTGAATTACCAAAAGGAAGTCAACCCATTGGTGTAAAGTGGGTATTCAAGAAAAAGATGAATGCTCAAGGAGAAATCGAAAGATTCAAAGCACGGCTGGTTGTGAATGGATACAAACATAAAGCAGGAATTGACTATGACGAAGTGTTTGCTCCTGTTGCAAGAATGGAGACAATTCGATTACTCATTTCTCAAGCTGCTCAGTTCAAATGGCCAATATTTCAAATGGATGTCAAGACAACATTTTTGAATGGTGTGCTCGAAGAAGAAATCTATGTCGAACAACCACTTGGATATATGAGAACTGGATAAGAGAAGAAGGTGTTGAAACTGAAGAAATCACTGTATGGGATGAAGCAAGCACCTAGGGCATGGAACACACGTATTGACACATATTTCAAAGAGAATGGGTTCGAGCAATGTCCTTATGAACCCGCCCTCTATGTGAAGAAAAATGGAAGTGATTTATTACTTGTTGCTCTCTATGTTGATGACCTTATCTTTCTAGGCAGTGATGTTCAGATGATCGAAGATTTCAAGAGCACCATGAAGCGAATTCGAAATGACAGACTTAGGTCTGATGAGATTCTTTCTTAGTCTGGAGGTTCGACAAGAAGAAGCTGGAATTTTCATCTCACAAGAAAAATATGCAAAGGAAATCTTAGAAAAATATAAAATGAAGAATTGCAATCCAACTTCGACGCCAATGGAACCAGGTACAAAACTATCAAAGTTTGATGGAGGAGAACGGGTCGAAGGAAGAAAATATCGAAGCTTGGTAGGTAGCCTTCGATATCTCACATGCACAAGGCCAGACATTTCACTAAGTGTTGGCATAGTAAGTCGATTCATTGAGGAACCAGTACACACACATTGGAAGGCGCTGAAACGAATTCTAAGATACATCCAAGGAACAGTATCACTAGGAATGTTTTATTCAAAAACAGAAGACTACAAGTTAGTTGGTTATTCTGACAGTGACTGGTGTGGAGACATAGACGATCGAAAGAGCACCTCTGGATATGTGTTTTTCATGGGAAACACATCATTTACTTGGTTGTCGAAGAAGCAACCTATAGTAACACTTTCGACGTGTGAAGCTGAATATGTGGCAGCATCCTGGTGCGTCTGTCATGCAGTATGGCTCATAAGGTTGATAAGCAAGATGGAGCTGAAACAGGAAGATCCAACAATAATACAAGTGGACAATAAATCAGCTATCGAATTGGCAAAGAATCCAGTGAATCATGAACGAAGCAAACATATTGATGTTCGATTTCACTTCATTCGTGAACATGTGAAGGAGGGAAGTTTCGAATTAAGGCATGTAGCAAGCAGAAACCAAGCAGCAGATATTTTTACAAAACCACTATCAAAAGAGGTCTTCGACAGAGGCAAGAAGATGATAGGAATGCTGGATGGAAGAAACATTTAAGTTTACAGAGGAGTTTTGTTGAATAAACTTTAATGTGTTAGTAATAAGTTTTACATTAAATATGGTAGTAGGAAGGACAAAAGTTTAGTAAGTTATGATAGTTTATTAGTAGCAGTTATGTTTTAGTTTATGTTTTAGAATTGTAAAAGCTATTTGGGTCCATAAAAGACCAAGAGTGTATTTTATTTTACAAGAGCAATATAGAAGTATTCATATAGAAGTCTGATCACTTTATAACACAATGCTTCTTGTGAATCTTTGGACCCTTCATAGAGACCCAAACTTATGGGTGGATCCAACAAGGTTTGTGCCAGAAAGATTTGAAGAAAGGGAGTTAGATAGTGAGATTTATAATATCCTTCCATTTGGTGTTGGAAGGAGAGCTTGTCCTGGATCTGTTTTAGCTAAACGTTTTATGGCAAATGCAATAGGGTCTTTGATTCAATGTTTCGAGTGGGAGAGGATTGGAAATGAAGAAATTAACATGACCGAGGGAATAGGTCTTACAATGCCTAAAGTAGAACCTTTGATTGCTTTATGCAGGCCACGCCAACTTATGGTAAAGGTTCTCTCAAACATATAAATAATGTATTATGTTGGTTTTGCTGTGTGTAGTTAAATAAATTAAAGGATGTGTAAAAAATAATGAAAAGTGTTGTAAAATAAACTAAATAAAAATGAACACCGAAAACGTTTTTTTTTTGTTGTTGAATTTTCTCAATATAGTTAGACTTAGCAAATGAATTTATTGGCATAAAGATAATGATATGATGATGTTTTGAAGATATGTATAAAGTTATATATATATATATATATATATATATATATATATATATATATATATATATATATATATATATATATATATATATAAAATATAACCGTATTTAATATGAGAGTGGTATAACATTTAAATAGATAAGTATAAATAAAGTTTATAATAAATGAGGTAACTAGATAAGTCATAAGTGTTTGTAGTGTAGTAATATTTAAATATGAAAGTCAAAGTGTAATAGTGTATAATAAATGAAATAAGTTGATATAATAATACGTAACAATAATGATAAAAGGTATATGTGTAATGGGTGTAATAATGAATGTGTTAATAATATAGAAAGGATTTTTAAGCCCTTGATAAAGTAGATAAGTCATTTTTTATGATAATAATTATGGTGTAAAATGTAGAGATTTGTTGAAGAGTTAAGTCTTTTTGAAATTTCAAGAAAGAAGGATATGTAGTCCCCTATTACTATTTTTAATATGTAAATTAATGGATTCTAATTCTTTTTCTAAATCTGAAATAATTCTTCTATATTCTTTTAAATTAGTTCTTTTTTTAGATAAGTCCATATTGTCAGAGTTATTCGCAAGGAAGTATTTATTTTAATGAAGAATATTTTTAATTTGTTTCATAACCACCATCATTGAAATTTATATCATTGTTTGAATTTGTTTGTGTATTACCAAAGTTTCTAAAATTTATAATACGTCTATGATTAATTTTTTAGTGATTTCTCATTCTATAATGAACCTGAGAATGATTTCTATAAAAATATTTTTCAAAACTATCTAAGTAATAAGAATTAGAGGTAAAAGTGTTTAATTCATGAATTAGACACCTTAATTCATGTTCTTCCATATCTTTTTCTAATGTTGCCTGTAAATCTTCCAAAATTATTGTTTTCTTGAAAATGAGAAAATTTTAATTTTTTCAATATAATCTTGATTAAATCCGGATAAGGAAATATTTGGAGTAAATAAGTTATCTTTGTATCAAAATTTTGGATAAAAAATAACTCTGATGATTTTTTGTCTTAATTAGGTTCTGAATAATCAATTTCAAAATAATTTAAAAAATATCTCTGACTTGTAAAATTTGAATTTTCTTTGTCTGGTTCCATATTAAAATTATTCAAAAATATGTTTTGTGAAAAGAATTAATTTTAAATCTTATTCCTCTTTCTCATTGCTGATTTCTTCGAGTATTATGATTTCTTAGTTGCTTTATCTTAATAATTTTATCTTATTTTTATGATTATTGAATAGTCCACGTTTAAGCAAGAACCTCGTCATTTCATCTCTCACTTACTACCACAGAGTTCTTCCAGAGACTTCTCTGGGTTTTGACCTAATATCTAAGAATCTCCTCCTAGTAGTACTATTTCCCCCTCTTTGTACTTTCTTTCCTAACAGATTCTTTCTTAGATTAATGATCAGATTCAGTTTGAGCAAGATTTATGTCTTTTGATTGTGGGTTAAACATAGATTAACAATAATCATAAATATAAACATAGATTATTAATATTAAGCTACTAAAAAATCATACCTCTTAGAAGCAATAAGGAAGTCAGAATAAGGAATTTAATGTGAAAGTGGAAATTTATAGTAAGGTATATTGAAAATCATTTTTATTGATTGCATATTTTGATTGCGTATATTTACAAATATGATGAGAACTTCCTTTTATAGGTGAAGGGGAAGTATCTAGAAACAATACATTATTGTCTTTACATTACGAAAAGATAGAGCACTATTTGCTAACCTTATCTAAAGCACTAAAAACAACAAACTTTACCTAACTTTGCCTAACAATAATGTACATGATAAAAAGTTGAAAGGGACAGACCCCCTTTCATAGTTTTGTGAGTCAGGATTACCCTTACATATCTTAGAAGGGTCAAATAATTATTCTCTTAATGCTTGTCTTTTTCAGCCTTTTTCTTGTCGGCAATAATTTCTTTAATTTTATGTCATTAATGACGTATCTTTTTTGCAATTTACACAATTAATATATTATCTTGTGAAGATTCTGATGATCCTGATTTTTTCCCTAAGACGTGCTTCCTCTCCTGTATGTCTCTACCAATTTTGGCCTTGAATGTTTGACTTCAAAAGGGAAAAAGAAATTTTTTGTAATATCTGAGTTACAATAAATTTTTCCTGTTTTGTCTTCTCTTAAGAGATTTTTTTCATCCATTTTGTATTTGGACCAGCCAAAGTCTTTAGAAATTATTTTGGCTTTGGCAGTTTCTACTTGTTGTAGGAGATCTTCTAAGTGTAATGTCTTTGGACCCGAATTTTGCACTTGGAATTCTTTAAATTCAATATCCATATTCTTGAAATATAACCAAATTAAATGATATATTGGACAATTATTGTGAAAATCTGGATATAATGATGTTATTTTCAGTTTTGCATTTTGTGGAAATTCTGGAGTTATGTTTTCTAATGTATCAGCTAAGAGTGTTGGTAAATATGGAGTGAAGTCATATAATGGTGGAACATTAATTATACTTACCAGTCCATGTTTAAGCAAATTGGTTAATGTTAAAGGGTAATCTCTAAATTTGAAGGGTTTAAAAGTTGGTAAGGAGATCCTTGTCTTCCTAATGGCATAATCTAATTGACAATAGCATTCACCCTCTTGATTTTCAGGGCAGTATTCAAACATGTTTTGACATAGTTTATAGTTATTGTGAACGAAATCTCATTCAGTGGAGATTCTATTGTGGATAATTTGGTTGTTACAAATTTGGGCCAAAGCTTCTTGTAACAAAACAAATGTTTTTATTCTCATTTCTTCTACAGAAGTCTTGGGAGGTGTCTGAATTGATGGCTTTCCCCGATTTACCAAACTTGTGATGATTTTTGGGTTTTTGAAGAATTTAATGTTTCACTAAAAGTTTTTTGTTCTTTTTGTGGAGTTTGTGGTCTTAAGGGAACTTCTTTTCCTTTACCTTTAGGAGAAATGTTTTGAATTTTATGTAAAAAAATCTTGATCACCAAAGGTTTTCAAGTGTTTTAAATAATTTTGGTATTTAAGAACTCGTGGTGATATGATAATGTCATTTCCACAACTCTTAATTACCATGTATATGGCTTCTTGTATATCATAAAATCCTTTATACAAGGGTTGACCATACCTTAGAAATAATTTTATTTCTTCAATTAATTGGATCATTTCTTCCCAATCTAAATGAACTCTGGCTTTTGGACTAGTGAATAATCTATAACAAATAAATGGTTTTTTGCTCAAATGTCTTCCAGTAGCAAAATAAGATGCTAATGCATTTATTACTGCAACTTTCTTACTGTTACCTTGAGAGGTGGTGGATGAGTTCCAAATGTTGTCTAAAAGACATGTTTCTTCTTCTTTGAGCTGATTTCTCATAGGTGTTTTGAATTGTTCCTTTTTGGGAAATATCTTTAATTTGGTTATATCAAAGTCAATGACTTTGTCTGCCATTTGTAATGTCTGAATTTCCTGTATTTTTCTGAAAAATTCGGGCACAATTGTTAATTATGTAGAAATTTTCTGGATAATAAATCTGGTATTTTATTATCCTTTCCTTTAATATGTTCCCATTTTATTTTAAATCCTCTATTTAAGATAAATTCTCTAAATGTAAGCCATATATTAGAGGTTAATTTTCTTTCATTTTTTGTATCTGCAAATTTTGCAATTGCCTCACAATCAGTTCTAATAGTAATTTGTTTTTTAGATAAGATAAATAAAGCAAATTTTTCCAACACGTAAATAATAGCTAAAATTTCATAATCAAGGGATGTTAAATATCTTTTTCTTTGAAAGGTTCCTGAAGTATATCTACAAATTTTTTCTAATGGCTTCAAAGAAAATTCATTGGGTTTTTTATTAAGATTCCTCCCCATCCTAATTCACACCCATCAGTTTCTATAATTAAATAATCCGATTCTAATCGTAAAGCCAATGGTTCTAATGCTTTAATTTGTTCTTTCAATTGTTGAACTATTTTGATATCTTGATCATTGAATTTTCTAACTCCTTTCTGTTGTGCCTTATTATATAAGGGAGAAGTTAATTTAGACAAATTTTTGAAATATGACCTAACATAATTTACTAATCCTAGAAAAGACTTTAATTGTTTTAAGTCTTTCAATTTATCTGGAAATTCTAAAAATTTTCTAGAGATATGAGGTTATAATTTAATAGATCCATTTCCTATTTCCACCCCTAAAAAGGAGAAATAATTTTTTCAAATTTCAATTTTCTTTTTTGAAATTATTAGACCATGTTTTCGAATAAGGAAAAAATTATATATAAATGTTCAAGATGTTCTTTTTCAGATTTAGAAAAAACAAGAACATCATCAATGTAAACACAAGTAAAACTGTAACATTCTTTAAAAATGTCATCCATCATTCTTTGAAAGATTTATGGAGCATTTTTAAGTTCAAATGACATTACTAGCCATTCAAAATATTCCAATGGACAAGAAAAATCAGTCCACTCAATGCTATCTTTATGCATTTTTACTTACCAAAAGCCTGATTTTAAATCATATTTAGAAAACAAATTTTTACCTTGTATTTTGTTTGTTAAAGTGTCTTTGTCAGGTATACATTATATGTCTTCAAATGTATTGTCATTTAATCTTCTATAATCAAAAATTATTCTGGAATGTTCCCTTTTCTTTTCCGCTTCTTTTTGAACAATAAAAGCAGGGGTTCTGTGTCTAGAATTTGATTTTTGAATAAATTCTAATTTCAACAATTGGTTAATGTGCATTTTAAATTCTCCTTGTTTTCAATTGACATACTTGA